CCACATAAAAATAAAGGCATTGTGTTGTGTCCATCTACCAAAAAAAAAAAAAAAAAAAAGATTCATTCTCTCTCTTTAAAAAAAAAGGGGGGGGGATGGGGATGTGACTTAGTGGTTAAGCACCCCTAGGTTCCATCCCCAGTACCAAAAATTAAATAAATAGTAATACGTGAAAAAATTGGTCGGCTTTTTGTGAGATAATTGATATAATGGGTTCTTATGGACTTGGAACATAATGAATGTTAATTGCTATCATTATCATTGTCACCATTAACACAATAGCATTGTTCCATCTGGCCCCAGCTTCTCATTCCTGCCACTATTTGACCTTGTTCTAGTTAGGTTCACAACTCCCCAGGTTTTCTTCTGTTATTTCAACAACAAGGACTGTTTCTGAAGGCTGAAGTTGTAGCTCAGTGGTACAGCACTTGCCTATATGTGTGAGGCACTGGGTTCGATCCTCTGCATCACATAAAAATAAATAAATAAAATAAAGGTTTTGTATCCATCTACAACTAAAATGTTAAAAACAAAACAAACAAACAAACAAAAAAACCTGTTTCTGCTCTCTGAAACCCTCTGCTCCATACTTTTTACCTGGCTGTCTTCCTCATTTTCAAGTCTTAGATGAAACATCACTTTCTCAGACAGCCCTTCCTTAATATGCCATTTAATTAAGGTCTTCTGCTGGACATGGTGGTCCAGTCCTATAATCCCAGCTCAGGAGATAGAGACAGCAGGATCACAAGTTCAAAGCCATCCTCAGCAACTTAGCAAGGCTGTAGGTAACTTAGTGAGACCCTATCTCAAAATAAAAAATAAGAAAGGACTGAGAATAAGGTTAAGTGCCCATGGGTTCAAACCTGGGTACCGAAAAAAAAAAAAAAAAAAAAAAGAAAGAAAAAAAGAAAGTGCTCCTCATAATGGCAAAAACCAAGAAACAACCCAAATGTCCAGTGACAAGAGAAAGAGTAATAGTAGTAGAAGCACAAAATATTTAAAAGTCCTCAAAAAAAGAGTGGATTGAAGCTGAGGTTATGGCTCAGTGGTAGAGCACTTGCCTAGCATAGGTGAGGCACTGGGATCAATCCTCAGCACCACATAAAAATAAATAAGTAAAGGTATGGTGTCTATCTACAACTAAAATATATTAAAAAAGAAAAAAAAAAAAAAGAGTGGATTGCCAGCTCACCGTGGTGCATGCCTGTAATCCCAATGGCTCAGGAGGATGAGGCGGAAGGATTGTAAATTTGAGACCAGCCTGGACAACTTAGTGAGTGTCTCTAAATAAATAAATAAATAGCAAAGTCTGGGGATGGGTTGTAGCTCAGTGGTAGAGTGCCCTTGAATTTAATCTCCAGGACCACAAAAAAAAAAAAAAAAAAAAGGAAAACAAGAAAATGATGGATATGTTGGGAATTTTCTCCCCTGAGAGAGGAATGACCACATTAGCAGATTTAGTTATTGTCAAGGTCCTAGCTTTCAGAATGATGATGATGAGTTGTTGTTGTGACAGTACTATAAGTAAACAAATGTGTGCTATGTATGGCTGCAATGATGAGAGTGTGTCATGAACCAAGGTTATGATTAATGTAGTTCTGTGTTCCTAAGGTCCATTAAAAGACAGGGAAAGAAATTATGCCTGCTCATAATTATGCTGCCCATATAGCCTTACTTGTTGGAAATGATAGGGAAAAGATTCTTCTCCCTATACTCTCTGTGACTTTTCTCCAGGAGAGTCAAGTTGGTGACACAGAACTGAGACAACACGGAGGGAGTAATTGAAAATTTAGCTACCTCAGGATTTTGGATTAGACAGAGGGGAGTGAAGGGAGGAGATGGGGCATGGGGGTAGGAGTGATAATATAATGAATCAGACATTGTTATCCTATGTGCATATATAGGATATATAATTACGTGATCAGGTCATGTAATCATCATGTACAATCAGATGAATGAGAGTTTTACTCCATTTATGTATGATGTGTCAAAATGCATTCTACTGTCAAATATAACTAATTAGAACAACAACAACAAAAAGATTTAGCTACCTCAGGATATGGGTACTGAAATCTGTGGGAAAATGGCCCCATCCAGAGGCTGGAAAAGGAACATGGTGATGTGGGTCAGCTTCTAATTACACTTACTTCCCCCCACTCTCTTAAGAACTGCAGGGTGCAAAATCTCCCACCCATTTCCTGTGCCTGATTCAGGGTGGGGTTGGGAGGAACTATAAAGGTGTGTCCTGAGAAAATGGAACTCTGGTTACATGGATAACAATTGTAGACAACTGTATACTAGGAAACCAGGGCAAAACAGCAGGGGCAAAACAAACATCTTTGAAATCTCGCTTGGAAATAGGCCCCTGACTCAAAACTCCATTTTTGCATTGTCTTCCTTTCTGCCTAGCCCAGAGTACACCTGGGCCACCCTCAGAATCTCTGGTCCCTGTATCCTCCCCCTTCCCCTCTTCCAGGCTATAGCTCCAAACCTACCTTCTTGTCTACTTCTACCAATTCCCAAGATAAGGCCCTACTAAGTGAAAGAGGGCTGGGGGTGGGGGGGTGGGGAGAGATCCTGGGAAGGCTGCTTAGTTTTTCATCTTAGGGAGAGTGGCTTGAGGGGGCTGGGGATGTGGCTCAAGCAGTGGCGCGTTCTCCTGGCATACATGAGGCCCGGGTTCAATCCTCAGCACCACATACAAACAAAGATGTTGTGTCCGCCGAAAACTAAAAAATAAATATTAAAAAAAAAAGAAAAAGAAAAAGAAAGAAAGTGGCTTGAGGAAGGGGCTGACTGGAGTCCTCCCTTTGAAGACAGGTTAGAAGTCAGGCTGGGCTGGACTGAAGCTATCAAAAGAGCTGGAGGTTGTGCTGGACTAGATGAGAGTACTAGGAAAGTGGGTGGAGGTCAGGCAGTATGAACTAGACCAGGAAACATAGGGAGGGAGCTGGGGTCAGGCTGAGCTGGACATCCGGTGGAAGGGAAAGAAGTTTGGAGTTGGGTTCTAGGCCAAGACTTTTAGGCTTCAGGGACCCTGGCTAGGGTTCACAGTCTGAGACAAGTTTTTCAGTGGCAAGCTGGGGCCTGACCGAGAATGGGCCCATGCCTGCACCTGGAAATAGAGGGCATGAGGGCCTTGGAGGGTTTCTTCCTCCCTTTACCCCGTCAATTACTCTTCACCAGGGGCTTTCCCTACAGGGCCCACTGGGAGAAAATGAGGAGGAGCCAGATCTGGAGCTCCAGAGGAAGTGGCTGGCCACTGTGTTTCCTGAGTTTAAATAGTGGGTTCCTCTGTCTCTCTAGCCAACTCTCTTCCCTGAAACAGGGCAGGGCAATCTACTTTTTCCCATGACCACCCCCTACAAATACACATACAGGATGTGAACCTGGAAATGCCCAGCCCAGTCACACAACTACTGCCCCAGTGTCCAATAACCCAACACAGTCTGACTGCCGAGCAATACATTAAACAATGCATCCTCTTGTACTTAAAGCCTTTCCTCTGCCTTGTTCAATATCATACCCCCAGTATCTAGAATTAGGTCTGATGTGTATATAGATAGATAGATAGATAGATAGATAGATAGATAGATATAGATAGATAAAGAGAGCGCTTATAATACTAAGCAATTGCATAAATTTAGCATCTACATAAACACACATAGAGGCATGCCCACATATACATTCTGACATGTATACCTTCTGTTAGATGAAAGCAGGCCCTCACCCAGCTCAGTAGTCATTAACATACATACAGTGGCACACATTCAGAACAAAAGGCCAGCTGGGCTCCCAATGACATGGAGCCACTGCAGTGTTACCTGGCACTCTTAGGGTGAGTTGGTGGTAGCATCTGGCTGGTCAATGTCCTTGCCAGGCCAGGTTTAGAGGAGGATGTATGTGAAAATGCAGTTCTTTGGTACCAAGGCACTGGGGATATGAGAAGTTGGGCTGGCAGCAGGGTAGGACCAAGGTAACTGTGCAGGTTGGAGGATGGGGGGGTAGCCAGGCAGTCCTTTCCTCCACTGTATTCCCACCAGATGGAGAGGTGAGGTGGAGGTACAGGTCTATCAGGATCTGCTTCAGATTCAGAGACCATAGTGATAGAATGGTCTAAAGTCTCAGCTACCTGCCTGGGATGAAAATGAAGGATACTGGCTAGGGGACTTAATATATGCTAATGCTTCTTCTTTTTTTTTTTTTTTCCCCAGTACTAGGTATCCACATTTTTATTATCTAGACACAGGGTATACTAAGTGGCTCAGCTGGCCTAGACCTTGAAATCCTCCTACCTCAGTCTCCAGAGTAGTGAGGATTACAGGCATGTGCCACCATGCCTAGCCTTGGCAACGACATTTAATGGTGCAGAGAGGAGACTTGGAAAGTGTAGCACTAGCTGCTAGAGTCTGAAAAGGGCTCTATTTTTCCTCCATATAGGTGTCCTCCTCCCTCAGTGCCCACATTAAAAGTCAACAATAGCAAACAATCCTGTTCCTCTCAATCTCCTATCCAGGGACCTCAGCATCAGGGGGCTAGTTTAGATCTCAGATCTGCTGCTATGCTGGGGGTGGGTAGAGATAGAAAATAGGAAGGCACAGTTCAGGAACAATAACCACCCCAAGATCCTCCAACCCAAGACCCCTTCTAGGAAAGGACCTTTTCCCCACCCCTCCCTCCACAGTTTAACCTTGGGCTCTATCCCCAGGAACCCTGCCTCAGGAAGAACACCTATCTGACAACCTCATGACAGCTAGGGGTAAGGGACAACAGTTGGGAGGGCAGGGGTGAAGTTAACTTCTAAGGAAGATGGGGCCAGGCTGGAATACCTGGGGACAAATTTTGGGGTTAGGGTAAAAGATAGGCATGACTCAGGGTAACAACTCCATAGATTGAAGGAAAACGTGTCCCATTCATAACCTTTCTCTCAAATATTCTTAGGAAAGATTGTTTTGAACGGAATCATTAATATGCATCAATAACCAACCAGGACACTCTCAAACCAAAAAGTCTGTTTATTGATCAGTACCATACATGACTCAAATGGCCCAAAAAAAAAAAAAAAAAAAAAAAAAGGCATTACAGTTGGGGTGGGACATCCACCTTCCTCACCCCTTCCCTCAGCTCCTGACACAGTACCCTCCCCAAAGTGGCAGTTGGAGTGAAGGAAACAGGGCACGGGAACTCCATAATCCAGAGGGAAGAGTGAGAGAGGTGACGCTGAAACTTCCTGGGACTGGCCACAGGAAAAGGCAGCAAAACCAGGATCTGGGTGGGACCCTTGCCCTAATCCTCCATAGGTCCAAGTGTGAATAGGAGCTGAGGATCCTGGCTGCCCCCTCCTCCCTTCTATAAGGAAGGGGAGGTGTTGGGAGATGACCCTCTACCTCAGCTTGGAGATGGAGGCCTTTCTCCTTGGTGGGCTTAGAGCTGGGATATATCCTTAATGGCTCCTTCCCCTCTGAGGGGAGGCTAGGATGAGATATGCAGTTTGAGGGATCAGGGGAAGACAAGAGGGTTCTGGTAAAGAGTGGATAAGCCCCTCTCCCATCCCATCCCATGCCTGCCCAATGGAGACAAAACAAAAAATACAGTGACAAACAAGGCTGCTCCCTTCCCTCCATATTCCCTGAGGAAGAGAGCCTCCCCTCCCCTCATCCAAATCAGCTGCTCTAGTGGAGGACTGGTAAAAATACACACCATGGATGGGGTGGGGTAGGACAGAGGGAGTCACAAGCACTGAGGGCAGGCTAGAGTCCTGGAGGATGGGGAGACAGAGACAACAGCAGGGGGTTGTCAAAAGATGTGGCCATCTATGCCCCACCCCCACCCACGGCATGCCTTCCCCAACTCCAGTCACCCCAGAGGAAAAGGGGAAATGGCAAAGTGTCTCCTTGGTCTGAAGCTCTTGAACTATATAAAATGGTATGCATACCTCCACCCATACTCTTACCTCCACCTAGGCCCTAGGCTCGCCCATCTACCAGGAGGAGGGAGGTAGCTAGACTTTAATAAGGGGAAGAGGGGGAACATGAGTGATTTTTTTTTTAAACTTACATTTTTAATAATATTATTCTTTAAAAAACTTGTTGGAGCTGGGATAAGTGGCAGAAAGGAACAAGGAGCCCAGAGCTTCACCCCTCTAATACCAGCCACCTAGGGGAAGGGGCATTCAACCAAGCCCCATGACCTTAACCCCTAAGGGCTGTGGGTATGGACAGCCCCAGTCTTGAAGGAGATAAGCCAGGACAAAGGGGAACCCAGAACTTGGGGTAAAGATGGAGGCAAATGCCCTGGGGGGATGGTCAAAACATTTTTCAGAGGTCCAGGGTCCACGTAGGCATCCACATGAGTAACCCCTTCCCCCAAAAGGCTCTGCAGGGGCCAGGCCCAGCCCAGGGCCACTGGGGGGCACATCTTGGCACCTGCCCCCAGCGAGTCCAGTTCCTCCCTGAAGTGGGTGGATGGAGGCTGCCCATTTTAGATGCTCAGTCTCTTCTTCTGTCTTCTGCTCCCTGGGGCTACGAGGGGTGGGGCAGGCAGGCAGAGCACTGGGTGACCAAGGCAGGGCCTTTATTGGGAGGCCTGTGACGTGGGGTTCTCCGATTTGCTTTCTTGGCTGGACGGAGGCTTGCTGTTCCAAGGGCTGTTGGCGCCCAGTGCAGGGGAGTTGTTAAAGCTGTCCTCGTCGTCAATGCCGTTGGCCGCGTCAAACTGGGTGTTCTCCAGCCGGGTGATGAGCCTCTCGTCCTCGTCCCCGAACTCCCCGCCCATCAGGGTGGGCTCCCCCACCACCATCACATCCTGAGAGTGGCGGAGGTCCCCAAACATAATCGGGGCAGGGGCTCGCCCGGCCCAGGGCAGCATATACCCCCAGAACCCCCATGCCCACCCTGGAAGTTCAACACACCCCACCCCCTCCTGAAACCCAAGTTTAAAAACCCAACTCCTCTGACACCCTCAGCTCCTGGAATCTTTCCCACCAGAGCATCAAAGCCTTTAGCCCATATTCATCAGATTCCAGCAGAAACATCAATCCCCTAGCTTCCTAATTCATCTCCCCCAGAATTTAAGGGGACTCCTAAACTTCTGTTCACATGTAAGAGGAAGCAGATCAAAAACATGAGGGAGGGAAATGTGTGTGTGTACATGTGCATGTGTGTGTATTTTAGATCTGCAAACATTCAAGTCTGTGTGTCCCTCTATCAGTGTGAGTATATATTTCTGATAGTGTGTGTCCCAAGCTGTCTGCCCTGAATGTCCATGTTTTCAAGGCTATCACCATTCCTGTATGTTCCATGTGCCTGTGGCTGACTCTGTGTGATCACCACCATGCATGTGCCTGCAAGAATTCTCTCATCAGTGAAAGGAGTCAGTTCATGCTGGCAAAATATATGGTAAAAATATATTTGTTTCTATGCCTCCTATTGAGCTCAAGCTTGGACAGGGGTCAAGGGTGAGTGGTGGGGCAGCCCAGAAGAGAGAAGAAAGCCGAGATGCTTACAGGTACCTGGCTGGAGAGGGCGAAGGTGCTGGCTGGGCTCTTCTTCTTACTGTTGCTGTTGTTAGTGTTGCCACCCCCTGAACTCATGGTGCTGCCCCCTGACATCTTCCGTTTCCGCCGTTTGCTGGGCTGTTGCCGTGCAGGCTCCGCTGTGTCAGGGAAAGGAGACTCAGGTGGGAGAGGGCTCTGGGGGCCCCTGTCCTCCATGTGGATACTCAAGAGACTGAGCCAATACTGTCCCCAATCTTGCAGACCCAAGAGCAAGGAAGGGCCAGAGGGAACTTCATAAGGAGATAAAGATACAGTCTTGGGGACTTGTGTTAGGGCATGATAAGAGCAGGTACAAGCCACTCACCGGGGGGTGCTACCATGCGCTGCCACTTCTGGAAAAGGCAGGTCTTGAGGCAGTCTCGGGGGCTGAGGCTGTAGGTCTTGTGACGGGACATGAGCTCCTGCATGGGCTCAAGTATCACACAGAGCTGGGGGTAGACCAGAAGGTAGTTGTCAGGGGAAAAGACATGGAACCCAGATCAAATGGATGGGGCAGAAACAGGGTGATCAGAGACTCACTCGGAGGTAGTTGAGAGTGGAATTGGATAATCCACACCGGGTGATATTTTTAGAGAGCTGATCCAACATCTGGGGGTCCTGGGCCTAGAGGAGAGAAAGACAAGAACACTGGTTTTGGGGTTGCATCTGCTCACTGACCCTATCATCTGAGCATTGATAATATTCCTGAGAGAAAAGAGGGGCTAGCATTACACCAGTTTTTTTTTTAAAATTCCTTTATTTTACTTACTTATTTTTATGTAGTACTGAGGATTGAACCCTGAGCCTCACACATGCTAGGTGAGCATTCTATCACTGAGCCACAACCCCAGCCCCTAAACCCATTTTTTTTTTAAGTATTCATTTTATAGTTGGACACAATACCTCTATTTCACTCATTTATTTTTTTACGTGGTGCTGAGGATGGAACCCAGGGTCCCGTGCGTGTGAGATGAGTGCTCTACCGCTGAGCCACAACCCCAGCCCTAAATCCATTTTTTAAGGTACCTCTAAGGCTACAGCCAGGACATGGCAGACCCTGTTCCACCCTTCCTGCTGCCTGCTTTCCCCCTTGCATCTTGTCCTGCCCACAACTCACATGCATGGCAAGGATGCTCCGGGGGATGAGCTCTCGGTGCTGCCGAATGCTGAAGTGCCACGTCTTTATCCGCATCATGTCATCAAACATGAATTCCAGGTACAACCGGCCCTCCACACACACCTGGGGACAGGCTTGTCACAACCTTGTCCCATCCCCATATATAAGAAAATGTGCCTGTTACAGTTCTCCTGTTTGTTCACAACTATATATACATATACACATTTATGTTACCTGCATAAATCTGGGTGTATAAATGTCACAGCAACCCCCTATCCCATATACATATCACACCTGGCCTTCACACACACACACACACACACACAGTAAGAAAGTATAAGAGATCCTTGTCCTTTCCCCATACAACCAGTAATACACCTATCAGCTACAAGCTTTATGAGGGCAGGTTCTTGTTCACTATTTAACTTTGGGACCCCCAAAAATATCATATACAAAGCTGATAAATGTTTGCTGAATGCTGCAGCATACCCACTTTCCCTTCTCATTTTTGCCATTTCCATTATGCCTACTTGGTGAACAGCTGTGAGTACGTGTTGGAAGAAAGGAAATGAAACCCAAAGACCCCAGTGTTCCACATCCTACTGTGTTGCTAACCTGGGTAAACATGGGTTTGCCGTGCTGGGTCACCATGCTGCCCTGGTCACAGTCGAGGGACACAAAGTTGCTGTGAAATGCCTCCTTGGGATGCTTAAGCACATAATATAGCTCCGTAGCACCCCCCTCAAAAATGCTGCGGAAGTAGCGTGGGATCAAGGTCCGGCCAATAGCTGTAGAGATGGAACAAACTTCAGGACTGAGGGACTTCAAAAAAGATCAGGCAGATGCTTCCCCTGCCAAGACAGACCCCTTGGCATTTCCAGGCTTAGAATACACAGGAGATAAACACTCTCACAGCAAGAACCCCAAGGCCACTCACTGTATCTCTTTGGTCCATCCTCCAGGCAGAAAGTGATGGTCAACATGGCATCATCCTCAAAGAACTCAGTCGTGAAAGCATCCCACCAGAGATTGTCGCACTCCTAGGGAGCACAGGGAAGGGTGTGTGTATAAGTGTCATAAGATATTCCAGGGGTGCCCAGATGGACCTTCTACTCTCAGTCTCTTTTCCCTTTGTCATACCTCTGTCCAGTTCTGAAGCCGTTTGTTAAGCTCGAATATTCTGTAGTCAGTTTGGTTACCATATGGTGTGTGCCTCCTGAGGAAGTGAAGGGAAGTCAGTAGGAGCAGAGTCATACTATCCCCACTTCTCCCTTCCTGATAAAGTCTACTTACCCAATCCCAGGTTCCAGGTATGTAGGTGGGTACATGGGAGTTGGGCTGTGTAAGGGAAGAGGCTATGAGAATGAGGGTGGAAGACAGGAATTACTGAGGGGGGGGGGAGTCCACTCCCTCCCCTTTATAGGCAGGCTCCCATCTAAAGAAAGGTTAGGAAATTGGCAAGGGACTCACCCCACATCCCGATCCAGCATGGTGCCGGGATGAAAGGGAGGGAAGGCGTTGCCGTTCGGGGGCTCTTTCGGTGAGTACAGCTTGAATGACTTTGAGGAACAACCTAAGAAAGAGAAAGGAAGAACCCCTTGAAACACTCCTGGGAGATGTCCTGGAAGCCTGCTGGATCATGTGGAAAGGGACTATCTTTTGGAGCCCTCTGCCCAGGTTACTGTGAATGGTGAACTGGTGTAGGGACTACTCTAGGGAGCATCTATCATTTTAATATGGCTCCAGCCTTGTTTAATTAAGAAGCTGGGAGGCTGGGGTATAGCTCACTGATAGAGTATTTGCCTAGCAAACACTGGGTTCGGCCTGGCACTGTGGCAGATGCCTGTATTCCTAGTAATTTAGGAGGCTGAGGCAGGAGAATCCCAAGTTTGAGGTCAGCCTCAGGAACCTAGCAGGCCCTTTCTCAAAATAAAAAATAAGAAAAAGGCCTGGAGATGTTAGCTAGTGATAAAGCATCTCTGGATTCAATCTCAGTACAAAAAAAGAAAAGGAAAAACAAACAAACAAACAAACAAAAAACCCTAAAATAAAGAAACCAGGATTATTCAGCCTATTCAATCTGCATCATTTTTTCATTTGGCTGAGCCCTGAATAGCAGAAAAGAAACTGAAGCTGGGAAGAAATGTTAATATCAGAATAAGTAAATATCTAAATATTAAATCCCAGCTATTCAGAAGGCTGAGGCAGAAGGATCTCAAATTTGAGGCCAGCCCATGCAACTTAGCAAGATTGTGTCTCAAAATAAAAAATGTTAGGGATGTAGCTCAGTAGTAAAGTGTCCCTGAGTTCAATTCTCCAGTGTTGGAAAAAAAAAAAAAAAGAAACACTAGAATTTAATTTTGATAACTCCCTTTTTATCTACATAGTTTCATTCAATCATCACAACAACCTACTAGCAAGGTAGTAGAGTTAACAGTAAAATTCCAATTCTACAGATGAAGCAACTGAAGGCTCAAAGGTACTTGCCAAGATCATGAGGATAATATAATAATAAGCTAAAACCTGAGCCCAGATATTCTGATTTCCATATCCTATGCTATTTGTATCATCTTATCCCTTTATTGCCCTCTAGAGAGAGACCAAGACTTGGGGGGAGAAGGGACTTTTGGGAACTCTCTGCCCCTCCTCCATCCCCAGGATCCCAGGAGGGTAGGGGATAGAAAGATAAAGGGGGGGGGTTGCCTGTTGAGTGTTACCCACCAGATAACCAGTTGGACCTTCTGCCTTCCCCATCAGCCACTACTTATCAGCCCAGCCCCCACACCCACCATGGGTAGAGTATTGTCTCCCAAGGAGACACCCAAAGCCTCAACCCCTTCTCTCATGAGACTTGTAGTGGGGGAGGGAAGCAGATGAGCCTCCACACTACTTAGGAATGGAACACAGGAGGCCTGGTAAGGAGTGTGGGTTCCAGAAGGCTCAGTCTAGGAGGCAAATGGTAACTTTAAAAAAAAAAGGTCTCTCATATATCTGGGCATGTACACATGGTAGCCACTCTTCCACCTCATCTAGCAGCATAAATAGTTGCTGGCATACTATTTCCTGACTGTAAGTGTTAAATTCGTAGTTGGGTAGGTAACCAGGTAACCATACAACTCTACTCTTCCCCCGCCTCACCAAATGTGAAACTGAAGCATAGCCCCAAAGGTTCTAGCCTTGGTCATATTAACTTTCTTAGGTCCCCAAAACTTGATAACATTTGGAAAGTTAGCTGTATTGTCTGCCCCCTCCTCGATTTAAATACAATGTTCCTTGGGCGGGGGAAGAGACAAAGGAAGACCCTGTGCCAACATGTGTCATTTAATTCTCTCCCCAAGGGCCCCTTCTCATAATGTGGGCAAAAGAAGGGTCCCCCAGGGGCCCAGAATGCACAGTCCCCCGAAGGTGCCAAGAATCAGAGCCTGTGTGTGCCTTCACACATGTGTGCCTCCATCCTGCCTAACAGGCTTCCACCCTCAACTCGTCCCAACATGCCCACCAAGGCTGGAACCCAGCAGTCCCAGGTAGGATCAGGGTGGCCACAACAGGCCCTCACCCCATGCAAGCTCTCATGGGCCATATCCACATGATACAAACAGCACACACTGCCTCTGCATGCCAGTGTTGTACTAAGCCTGTGTTTCAGGAAAGAGTCCCTACTCAGCCCCCAAGACTCTCAACTCTACAGACAGGTACTACCGCCTGGCATGCGTGCAGCCCGGGTTCGATCCTCAGCATCACATACCAACAAAGATGTTGTGTTCACTGAGAACTAAAATATAAATATTAAAAATTCTCTCTCTCTCTCCCCTCTCCTCTCTCACTCTCTCTTTAAAAAAAAAAAAAAAGAAAAGAAAAGAAAGAGAAAATGAAATGCACCAGTTCAAGAACCTGCAGAAGGGTAGCAGAACACCTGAGTTCCACTCCAATTTCAAAAAAAGTCTCAGAGCCTTAGTTTCTCTCTCTAGAGAAAGAATAGGCATTTCCTGGAATTGGGTAATAGTTCTGAGGAGCTGAAGCTCATTGCTCTGGAGCCTCTATTTACACCTCCAGTGAATGGACACAAACAAATTCAGCATCTCTCCAGAGCCACAGCAACTCCCACTAGACCCAGCACAAGGGGATGGGAGTGAGAGAAGGGGAGGGACCGTCGCCCAGACCATCTGTCCCTGTTGCTGCCTGTCCCCAGCAGAAGGAGTAGAGGGAGAAAGGTGGGGGTGAAGGGAATGTGTCATCCTGCTCTGAACTCGGATACCCCATTCCCAGCAAACTGGGAGCTTCAGGAAGGAGAAGGGAATAACAGTCCAGAACTAGCAAAGTTTTCTCAGAATGGAAGCTGCATCCTGAGGCTGTGGAGGGTACCTCCAGCGGGGCATTCCCATGGTAACCAGTATGACCCGGGAGCAGGCCCCCTCCTTTTGGGGGCTGACCACAGGTCAGCAGGCCAGCAGTCCCAGGCTCTCTGATCTGGGGCACCTCTCCCCAGGCCTGGGCCAGAGAGAGGGCCTTGCGCCCACCCCCAACAAGCTTGCAGGGTGCCCAGACTTACCTGGGAGAACTGAGGGGGCCAGGAGAGGTGCGGGGAGCGTCTGGAAGCCCAGAGGGTCCCAGGCGGGGGTAAGGACTGAGGTGGGACCAACTTCAGCCGCTCATGTCCCGAGTGGGACAGGCGGGCCTGGCTGGGAGCTCCACTCCGCCAGCCGCACAAAGACTGGCACGCACAGCCTCCGCTAGCCCCGTGGCGGCCACAGCCCCGGGGGAAAGTTACAATGGCCACTGGGCCAGGGGACGGGGGCCAGGGGGCTGGCCTGGGGGGCGGGGGGCAGCAGGGAGTCCGGAGCCTTCTTTGTTTGCAAGGTTTCCCTCAACAATGGCTGCTCCGCTCTTTCCTCTCTACTCCTCCTCCTCCTCCTCGGCTCTCTCCGCCGCCGCCTCTCGCTGCCTCTGCCTCCAAGCAGCCCGCCCGCCTCCCCAGGCCACCCAACCCCTCTGCTGGGGGAAGCAGGAGAGGCAGAGCCCAGCACTCACACTCACTCACACTCGCACACTCAGACACACGCAGCGCCCGCCGGCTCCTTCCTTTCTCCCTTTCTCTCCCTCCTCCTCCCTCTCCTCCCCGCTCGCTCTCTGAGCCTCTCTCCGAATGAGGCCCCAGGGCGGGCGGAGGGTGGAGCTGCCCCGCCGGCCCCGCCCCCTCCCTGCGAGCGAGGAGGAAGAGCGAAGAGAGAGGGAGGAGGGACTGCTGAGAAAAACAAAAGAGAGACGGAGACCGGAGACTGGGGACCGAACCGACCGGCCTGGGAGAGACCTGGATGGCGAGGAGTCCTGCAGGGCCAGCAGCAAAATACACCCCACCAGCCCAAAGCGTGGTTCTCAGGAGTGAGCAGGGGTGCCAAGGCTTCAGACAGAGATGGAGGAGGATGCTGGCCTCTCTACAGACTTTCAATATTTTCAACCCGCCTGCCAAACCTCCCCCAAATCTCTCTTACTCACCCCTGTGATCTCTCAGGTTGAAGACTAGCCTGGGCTTCCACCCTGGGCTCCTCGGATGAAATCCCAGAGCAGCTGGGGGAAGGCCCCGGTGGTTATTTTTGACAGAGACACATTCTGACTTCAAACTATACACACTGATTGAAGGAAGGGGCGTGGGGGGGGGCACTCTAGGCTTCCCTGCTCTCAACCCAGATAGGTTCCAACCCCTGGCTTAGATCCCTTAACAGGAATCACCCTTCCCCACCACTACCCTTGAAACCACATGGTGTTAGTAAAAGACATTGTCAGGAGCTAGGGAAGGCAAACTTGCTCATCCCAGTGCCTCCAGAAGGGGCTGCTAACTCCTTCCCACCATCCCAGATCTAAAAAGGTATGTGATTAATGGAGGTGGAGTCTGTTCTCTAGTCCCACAGGAGGTATCCCAAGGAAGGAGTCACTTCTGAAACTTGGATAGCCATTTAGGCCCTATTACCTAGACAGGAAAAAGTCAATCTTTCTCTCTCCCCCCTCCCAGAGAGAGGGAGCTCCTACTTTCATTCTTAGCAATTTGAATGTTTTCTCTACTTCCCACCTCTCCCAACTATATTCACACATAATCCCAAGGACTAGATTTCTTATGACACACTGGTTGACTGCAGTAATATTGTACCTGGCTCTGTGAACATCCTCCACACATAAATAACATCTCCCACTTTCACATAAATCAGTACCTAATACACACTTTAACCTGTCATACACCTTAAATCCTAAATATACCAAAACCCTGGACACAGACATGCAGATTCATATATAGTCTGACCCCAATATACACACCAACACTGGGTTATACCCCTTAAGCCTGTGACTATCACACACAGAGCAGCTGGCAGGGGTGGGGGTGAGGGGACTTCAGGGTTGTTTGTTGTTATTTGAACTCACAATTTTACTGCCTCAGCCTTCCAAGTGACTGGGATCACAGGTGTGCAACACTGCAACCAGCCAGGGGGATATTTTTAATGAATGTTTGTTATTCAGGGATTTACCCATAAATGGGTTCCCTGAAATCTGCACACCATTCCCCAATGCAGCCTGGCCATGATACATCCTAGCTTTCACGAACATTGAAATCTGTAACATTTAACCAGACCCTGTGACATATAGCCTACCACCTTAACTTAAGACATCCCTACTGACTTCCCAATCTAATTCTAAAATAGCCACATTCCTTCCTTACTGACAGGACAATTCCTGTAATTTGTTTCCTGCCTTATTTGTTTATTTATTTGGTACTGGAGATTGAACCCAGGGTCTTTTAACCACTGAGCTACATCCATAGCCCTTTTTATTTTGAGACAAGGTCTCAGTAAGTCGATGAGGCTGGCTTTGAACTTGGGATCCTTCTGCTTTATCCTCCTGAGTCGCTGGAACTGTAAGTGTGTGCCACTGTTTCCTACCTTTAAACTTTTCAAAATGCTCTGACAGGCAGTATCTAAAGTAATCCTTACAGCACACAGGAACACACTTGTCAAAATCCTAACTTGAACAGACCACAGTGAGACAGGAGGACCTGATGTTGGAATCCTGGACTTCTAACCCCACTTGATACAAGTTGAGTCTTGGGGCATTGTAGCCATTTCTATTCCCTTCCCCCTCCAGGCTTCAAATGACTGTCCACATGGGGAGGGAGAAGGGGTCAGTGCTCTAGCTTCTGCCCTCAGTCCATAGCTCAGAACCGGCACCCAGAATGTCTCCTCAGAGAGAAGCCACATGAGCCTGCCCTCTCACTGTAGGGAAAGGCCCCTAAATGCTAAGACACTTCAAGACTCTGGCATATCATTCAAAACAGGTTCTCTCCCAGTTCCTCCCCTTCTCCAGCAAGTCTGCTCCTGCTCTGACACCGCCCCTCATCCCCACCCTCACACACAGGGCAGAAGAGGTCCAGCTAAAGGGATCAAATCTGAGTTAAAACCACCTAAAATTGGTAGTGGTGGGAGCAGCAAAGAATGACAAAGATGATGAAGGAGAGAAGCTGGAGAGTACTCCTACTGGAGGGGGACTCAAAGGACAGTAGCCAGGCCCCAGCCCACAGAATGAGGGGTACCAGCACTGCCCCCTGCCCAGGCCCCTGACCCAGGCCTCCAGTGTGCCTGCCCCCCTTCCTTTGTCTGTGCCCGGCCTCCCGTTGGCCTGGCGCTCTGCCATCCTCCTCTCCTGGCTTCCAGCCGCCACCACTGCTGCCTCCTCCCCTCCCCCTACTCCTCCCAGCCTTAACCCTTCTGAGCCACATGCTGCCCCAGACAGGCCTGGCTCCCTAGCATCCTGCCCAGGGAGATGCCCTTTAGCAGGGCTTCTCCCAGCTTCTGGTAATTTCAGCCCCAGAAGCTGTTCTCTACCCCAACAGTACTATGGGATACTATGTGTGTATCTTGTGGTGTTTCCGCATGTGCATGTGTGTGGGTCTGCGTGCTTTGGCTTCCTTCAGTCACATGTGTGGGGCATGTGCTGTCTCTGCTGGGCTGGGGGAGGAGGAGGAGCCGGGAGACAGCAGAGCACAAAGGAGAGACTCAGACAGGCAAGGAGACAGGCAGCAGGAGGCCTACCAGGGCGCCTGGGCCCTCACCCCAGGGCTGTTCAAAGTGGTGGTGGGGGTCTTTGGGCCTGAACTGCCTCTTGCTGCCAGGATGCTCTTATGTTTAAGCATGTGCTCTCCCATCCACCCATGCAAGCTTGGTTCCCTCTCTTACTCAAATTCCTACCATTCTCCACCTCCAGGCCTACCCTCAAGCCCCTCCCCACGTGGTTCTCCTTGAAGTCTAACCTCCATCCACAATCTACTTCACAAACAGGAAGATGACTCCCTACTGTCAGCCATGTTTTTGCCCCACTCCATCAGCCAGGCCATCAGACACACAAAAGGAACTTGCCTTTTGGGGTACTAACTGAAGTTGCCTCCCGCTTTATACACCCCACACACACACACACACCAGGCATGGGCCTTTTTCTGTCCCCATGCTACTCACAGAGACTGAGGGGGAAACTTTCTCCTCCTTCCACTGGACCCCAGCCACCCTTCCCCAACTTTAGGCCAAGCTCCCATCCACCTTCAGTTTGACAACCCCACCACACACATTTCCTACCTCACTACTTGTAGTAACTAAGAATCAAAATTTAAGACTCAACCCTTTAGCTCATTTGTTCAGAGCCTTAGTTTCTGCTCTGCTTTTGTGTGTTGATGGAGGGTCACAACCCTGGGGTAGGCTTGGAGCATGGATAGATCTGAACTGGGATGCCCAGTACAGGGAAAAAACACAAACACTAACATGCGCACCAAGCTGGTAGGAGGAAGGATGATGGCGCCAGGCAGGATTCCAGCTTGGCAAGGTCTTCCCTTTCCTCCTCTCCCCCACCCTCTGCAGGAGCCAAAGGTTCCCATAATCAGATATTCCAGGATCCTCAGGCTCTCCTAGTTCTTACTCTGGGTCCCAAGACCCTTAAATGTCAACCTCAGCAGGCACTTTAGGTGTATGCCCAACCCAGCTTGGCCTGGGTCACAATGATTTTCAAGGAAGTTTCAACACTGGCAGCTCTCCTTGGGGGGGGAGTGTGCATTTGTGCTTGGAGGGTGGGCAGTCATCAAGGTGTAGAGTGTGGATCTCCCAGAGAACAGGGCAAAGGGTCCAAACCACGATAGATTCAGAGGCACTGACTTCCAGGAAAAAGCTGACTTCTTGAGACATGAGGGCCAATTTGAAGACCCACAGTCCTGGGGATGGAGAAAATGTTCTGAGGCCCTGCATAGACTTCTTCTCTAGTCACATGGCTCTTCTTTTTCCTCCTGGCAGTTGAGGTTGAGCCTACCCCCACACCCCTAGGAAGACACAGGCTGTCCCTGACAAGAGCTGACATGTGTTTTGGGGAGGTAATGATCTGAGCTGAGCCTTGGTTCTCTAACAAGTTCTCACTTTGGGGGTTAAGAATTACTACCTCAAACTCAATTCTATGCAAATCACTCTATTTTCCTAGCTTTCCTGGGTCTGCCACATTCTCTCTTCTACTAAGGCAAAGATGCCAGACTCAAGGGCCTAATTATCTGGCACCCATTAGGAGTACCTCCTGTCCCTCAGGAGAGCCAACCTTCCCTGGCAACAGGCAGGAAAAGTTGGAGGGGGCAAGACAGGCCCCAATCTATCCCTCCCCTCAAACAGTGTCCTCAGAAATGGCTTGAGGGGTGGGTGTCACAGGATATGTAAAAGGAAATAGGCAGCAAAGTAGGGGGGGGGCAACCCAAAACAGCCAATCACAACTCTTTAATGACCTAAGGGGGGGGTCAAAAGTCCAGAGTCACTTCTGATTGGCTAACACCCTGGAATTCTGGGAATTTCAGTTCCCCCCCCAGCCCTTCCCCAATTAGCTACCTCCCCCCCCCTAAAAAAAAAAAAAAAAAACAAATCCCAAAACCATATACACAAGCTATCCCCAGCGCCCCCTCCCCGTACCTCTGGGCTGCTGCGCATTTTCACAGGTGAAAAAACCTTTCTCGGCTTAAGGCCCCACTTACCCCTCAACAGCTCCAGACACCCCCATGCCTTCGATGCCCTCCACCCAAGTTCTCCCCAAACAAGGGGTAAGGGGCTCAAAGGGAAGGTTAGGAAGGGAGGGGCCAGGCAGCCGCGC